CTGCAAGACCAGTGATTGTTCAACACAAGAGTGAAATAATGCCGAAACAAATTCACAACTCTCCATACACCGACAATCAGTGTTATTGTTAATGAACTACTTACAACGCATTCTGCTATTTCTGGTGAGGCGCCTATTCTATTAGGCGTGTAGTCAACAGCTTGTATTCGAAAATGTGATATCTGATCACAATTTTTAAGTGTTTGTTTCATTCTCATACGGACCAAATTTTGCCGGTTCCTCTCTTATTCTTATTGTGTGCTGTACTACTCCTTCTTATCTCCCTGAAATATTCAATGAACTTACGAGAAGCAGACGAGCTAGTCACCCATCACAAAAGTGAATACATTCGATACCGTCGCCTGATTGAGACAATATTTATTATCTTACAAGTGGAAAGTCCGAAAGACGGAATACGTTTAGTGCACGAATGACAAAAACATTTTTGTCACGGGAATCAAGGGAAAACTGACTGTCGATTGCAATCGATCGGGGGCTCCGCCTAACAAAAAAACCGGTAATGCAGAGAACGGTTTGCATGTGAAACGATCTCTGCACTGAGAACAAAATGCATGACTCATTGGCACTTTTCGATGGGTGTGAGCCCATATCTCCGGGCTGTCGTTGTCCATTCGGTCATCAGCTCTTTTCTCCAACACCGCCCCCTGGTTGACCCACCGTCCTATTGTCCTGTGCCTCTCTAAGTGGAATTTAGACCAATTTAGATTGCTAAGGTAGAGAGGAAGCCACGGTAAACCCGGAGCACATTCCACACCAAAACGGAAAACAACGACCACGCCCGTTTAGGTCTCTGCACTCCTCAGTGTGGCAGTGTGGCGATCGGAGAGGGATATGATAAACATGAGCATACGTGTGAACGGGACAGTGTCACAGTTACAGTGCCCATTGTAATCTACTGATGTACAATGAATAGTTGGATTTACAAACCCAAGTGCTCTCACTCGTATCCGATCTCGACGATGCTGTATGCTAAATCAGTAGGTTTCTTAAATGCGAACTTTTGAGATCGATTGTAGATGACCAGTGTAATTCTCAAATGCATTTTACCAAGCAAATGACACGCAATAATCGGGTATCATAGAGTGATGAAAAGTGAACTTGTTTAAATTGATTATCATTAAAGAAGTGTAATTTTAAACCCAAAAAACGCGGTGAGCATCGCATCGATTGAAACGGAAAAGCATTTCGATGGCAGAGGCACAAATCTACTTAGTTCAAATAGGAAAACAATGGTTTCGCGGGGCCGCGTCTTAGTGACATACCCCATTGGATTGAACGGCCTTGGTTGATGTGTCCGCGTCCAAGCATGGTTGTGAACCCCCGTCTGGATGAGTTCGTAAACCGCATACTATCCCCGAACTGTTGGAATTACTGGCTGGACTATCATGTGTGTCTACATTGTTGGACTCACCAGTGGTGGCCGACTGGCTGCATACCTCAAAACTTGCGTCCAAACTGCTGGATTTCTGATTGAACAACACGGATGTTGAGGTGGATAGCTCCATCGTATCCTGTCGATATACCGGTGCTTCTGTGACATCAATCCTAGTTGACGATCGAACCGCACTGTTCACCTCATCACCCGGTGTTGTGGCTGTGGAGCGCGGCGGAACGGAAGAGGTTGATTTGGGTTTGGCTGCCTGAATCTCGCGAAGAAATACATCTTCTTGGCTAGCATCACTCAAACAAGAGGCAGCTATATCATCCCATGGAAATTCCTCAGCATATGTGCTGACTGGTTCACAGCCATCGGTATCACTAGAGTTCGAATAGAGCGGAGCCTAGGAAAATATCGACAAGTAAAGGAAGAGATTGTTCGTACACATTTACAAATTAGGAACGAAGAGCGAAACGAAAGCATAATAAATTGAGTGCTCAGTTCCATGGATTAGAATGGAAAAGCAAAGCGGAGGGTTAGCTGAAGCATAAACCAAACATAGTGAATGAGTATTTTTAGATCACTCATGACTGTCACTCACTGAATACGGTCGTCGTCGCCACAGATGCTGTCGAATGAAAATGTATCAGCACACATTTATAGAAAGAGGGAATGGGTGATGTCTACGGCAATTGAGGAAATAACTGTATGGAACAATAAGCTCAGCTTCATTCCGTTCGGAGAGACAACGGTGGTAAAAAAAAGTGAATAATAAATGAACTTCGTATACGGTAGTATTTGAAATCAAAGGTGTAACTCCTTGAAAACAAAACGCAGAGCGAACGTAATAGGCTGAAATGAGCGGCGGCGCAACAGGCGTGGCGATAGAGTGAAATGAAATTGAACAGCTATACTAGTTTCCTTGATGACAGTAAACTAATCAAACGCAAAGGAACAGCTCGGAAACGAGTGGCTTTAAAGGAAAAGTATAGTGAAAAAACCTCATGGTGAAACAATGAAAGCGAAATGTTAGTTACACACCGCTGATAAGAGTGAAGGGAAACGGACAAAGATTACCAAAACCTGATACGTAGACTGAGTATTCAAAACTAAACTACGAAGCAATATCCAAGAGACAACAGTACAACAACATTATTTCCAAAATAGCCATGAAAGGACACAGTAATACAGTAATATAGGGTAGGGTGAGAAATTATAACACATTGTTTTTTGGTTACTAGAAGCAAATGTGAAGAGATTGGATTCTAATCTAACAATATACCTGGAGAAGAGAGTCAAACTTCACACCTCATCATTAGGTCTTCACTAGATAGCACGTTTTCAAGCAAAACAACGTTTGAATTATGGAAGCACAGAACTGGTGAACAGTGGGAATACATTTTAAAACGGACGATGGCCCTATCACCCTATGACTTTCAACAACACTGAATAGGTTCGTTGACCCTTCGAACCAAAGTGGTCTGCAGTAATGATTTTGTGACAGACCAATATAGGATGTGTTTGGATTGGCTAAAACGAGATAAAACCAAAATTAACACTTTACGGACCAAATATTATGAGCTTAATTCGTTGAATAACATCCGTTACAAATTTAGATCTGATACCGAGTAAAAAACGTGTTTATTCTTTTTGTGTATTTATGCTTATGACCTCGATCGGGCGTAGTACCTAAACGTAGCAGATTTCACTTTGCCAAATTCATACGGAATGGTTCTTCTTTGTAAAACCCATGAGTATCCAGCCTTTGAACAGTGTAATAAATGTCACACAGAGCACTGCGGTTTTCCCCCAGAATTCAATCACTTCAAGCTGCATACAAGCGGTGACCGAAATTGTTTAGAAGTGAATATAAACGATTCCAGTCTGCCACTATTTTGGGAAGAAAATATTACAAAACAATTATACTGCGATCTTTTTTATTGATATGTAGAGGAGACAGTCCTCTGGTTTGATTTCAAGAAGCTAGATATAGTTTATCAGGCTTTGTGCCCCGAACGTTAAGTGTGCTCTCATTCACTGCTGAGCGACTCGTGATCCAACGTTGTCAGAAGTTCGATGAGGAAAAATTTGGAAAACTATTAACGCTGGGGTGTATGGATTAGGAGTTTGACAGGAAAAAAGTTTGTTAGTGGACGGTCTTACTCCCATACAGTCCTAAAGTACCTCAATTTATCTTCCCAAACATCTCTACCAATGTCGGATCTGAACAAAATAGTTGTGCTGAGCTTCTAAATTACCGTATTGGTACGTAATGCATTATACAAAAAACAATGAAGTCGCTTCGACGACCATTAGTCCAAGTGAACGAAATCCATCACGTGAGCTCACAAGGGGAACTTTGTTGTATGGAAGAACATCAGGTGACAGTATAATCACCAAACACCGGCAACATAGGACTCGGAACAGTGGGATTCGAACAAAGAGACTTCGTTGTATAATGCACTTTATTGCAGGACCATCAGATTGTTGTTGTTGCCGTTGTTGTTCATCGGTTGTCGTATTAACAGTGTGTGCGTAATCCCGGCTGCACAACGTGGTTCCCCAAGTTGGTTATTAAAAATCACCAACTTGGTTGCAACCATCGCATTCAGAATTGATTGAAAACTAGGGTTTAATGAAGTTCGTTTTTATCTGGAAGACTATGTAAAAATCTCCTTGTGTTCAAACTTTAGGCGAACTACATCGATTAGTCTAAGAGGGTGAATTTCAAATGTTCAGTTGATTCACACAGTTAAAGTTCGCTGTATAATTGCTCCAGTTCGGTTGGATGTGGTTAAGTGAACAAAACGGACGAATAAATGCGAAATGAAAAAATCCAATGTAACGGGAAAGACGAGACGAGAACAACCCAAGACTTAACACTCATATTGCGCCAAACTGCTGCATACGCTGAATAATTCGAATGGTAGTACACACTGTACGATTTCTGGAAGTATGTGAAAGAAATTCTGAACCAGTGGGTAACAATAAAGATATGATCACCTTAAATTTCAGAACTTGCAAACATCCTCAAAAGATATGAATATGAACCCGAGCAAAAAGTATGATAGTAACAGATTTTTCGATCACATTTAAGACAAGATGTTTTCAGACCATTAAAAACAAAAACAAGAAACCGATCTTTGTTTGTGCATCCATTAATTATGTAAGATCGTAATCGACCAGAACAATGATTGTGGTATAGTACAAAGCTCACACACTCAACAGCAGCCCCCAGTGAATAACTGGTTTTCCCTTTTATCGAACCTTCATGATTGCTTTTATAACGGAAATCAGTGGATAAATTGAACCAATCCATAGGTAGATCAGCATCACTTAGTGGAAAAATAAGTGTAATAAGGTAGAGCAGAATGCAACATAAGTCTTTATTGTGACATAGCAGAACACGAATAGCTCAAACGCACCTGATAATCATCCCAGAAATTTAACAATGGTTCTTGACAATCCAGCACCAACCGAGTTGAGTCAACTGCGCCTGTGGAATTCAGAAGAAGTTCATCGCGCACTTGTGGACTACCTTCGTCTGGCGAACTAGACACACCTAATCCAGATCCTGGTGGTCGTTGGCGTCGTCCTATGGGTGGAGAAAGGTATCGCTTTAAATAAATTGGGCCATATTGGCTTCGGACCCAATCATCCGCTTGGGCTGCGGCGTCCAGGTAGGATTTCACTCGAGTTTGCCATAGTCGGTATTCCGGATCGCTTGCATCCCCGTCGATGGATGAACTCTCACTGTGGCTACCTCGGGCAGGACCCAGAGGTCGATCCAATCCGGTAGAATATGGTACACAAAACGAGTGTGGCCTGGGTGGAGGAACCGTGAGGGTGAATGCGGAGTTACGGTCCCTTGGTCGGGGTCCACGTCGCCATATAACCGGGTGTGATCGACGATGGGGGGCGTGTCGGCGAAGCTGTCTTGTCAGGGCTGTTGGCTGACGTCTGGATTTATGCCGAACGAGTACAAACGGTGCTGGTGTCATTGTAGGTTCGACCTTTTTAGAGTCGGCAGCACCTGTGAGTAGTAAATGAGACAGCAGATCAGACTGGAATATACGTGTTTTGTGAAGTTAGGGAAGTTATAAATTCTACTTATTCTTTGGGTTAATCAGGAAATACATAATGATATCTGTGAACCGGCCGCTAAAGCGTTTTTGGCTACAGAGCATTCCGCACAAAATCACTAATGATTACACGTCAAGTCACACCTAANTCAGACATTAAGCTATCAATAGAGAATACACCCAAATCCGCCCGTGGACTGGGATATTGAACAGCGATCACTGGGTAAAGCTTGTCATGAAGATACTCAACAACTTAGAAGAATTAGCAAAGGTGAATTGTACGATCCATCGTCACTTACTACTGTAAACAATAACCTGTTTTGCCCGAACTCGAGGTCAATTTCAACGGTTTACTTTCTNTACTTTCTCATTTCACTATGCGGGTGAGTCTGACCTCACAGTGGTCTGCCTGGTATGTGTTGGAACCTGACAAAACACCGTGTGCGCACTGGAGTGGTCTAACACCAAGTGACGGATGAGCGAAATGAGTGAAAACCTACCACCAGACCAAAAGGTAAATGAAAGGGGACGGGTAGGCGTCTTAGATGATTGTGTGCAAGCAGCGGGGGATACATGCGCATCCATTAGTTCAGCTATGAAGTGGGGAAGTGGTATGGTCAGAAAAAGTCGTAAATTGAGGTAACGGAATGGTTCAAATTGCCATCGAAACAGAGGCGCACAAACTTGCACACAGTTGTGCGAGTTTGGAACCGATCAGTGTAGTCGTAACCACAGAGCTTATCTCTAACCAGCCAGCCCACCCTCGCTCTCTCTCTCTCTCTCTGTACCTGAGCGATTCACATGTTCACAAACACCAAGACAACGCCGTTATTTGGATTAACGAATTTCAGGTGAAATTGTACGCCCGCATTAAGCTCATCCAGTTGTGAGGGGTAGAACATTCCGTGTAAGGACAACAGTCTAACTGGGCTGACGAGTTTCGGGGGCGGGAGACAAGGAAGCTTGCGCGCACGTACACAGGCACCTTTGAGCAGACGCGCGTGATTGATTGCGAACAATTGGCTGTTTGAATCCAGTTGAGTTGGCGCGTTTAGGGGAATGAAAGTGGAATACGATACGGCGATTAGGACTTTGGATCCATGTTGCACCTGAACAACTACCGTCAATTGTGTTAAGTTTGCCCATCGCAGCGCCCAACCCATATGACGCAGCACAGGTTTTCATTCAGCTCAGTCCTACTGCCATTCGCGGAACCGGATTCCCAAGTCTTCGAATACGACTTGACTAATATGGGGTCTACCTGCTAAGTAGGCTAATATTATTTGACAGTTTATCGAAGGCCGAAAAAGAAATGAGCGATAAATAAAAATGTTTCTATATAGCTATGCATTCAGCACGTCTGTGAGTTATTCTATAAATGTGCGATGTTCGAACCTAGCTTGCATTTTTGAATAACAGTTATGATACATCTGACCGGTGCGAATTAAAAGCTACGAGCCTGGAAGATCTCGTATCACAGGTCTGTTTCGCCCAATTTCACGCTAGGGACAAACTGATAGACCAAAAATGTTTTTCTCTGCCAACACAATGGCAACACTGAAATCCTGGTAATGGCACATTTATGCGCATTTCTTGATGAACGGACTAACCAAATATTAACCTCCGTGAGATTTCGATTAGATATTCGCGGCGATAGTCATCAGAGCTTCTGAGCAATAATAGTAGTAAAGACTATCGGGTATAAGAAACTGATCACGCGCTTTCTGGAATAGTTTTGTTTGATTCCGATACCAAAAAGGTATTTATTGTATTAAGCATTTTTCCGCATGCAGTGAATAGAAAGATAAAATTACAAAATATTTCGCATCTCCAGGTTCAAGCACGTAACGTGGGAAACGAAATATCCGTTTTATTGGCCCCCTATCACAGTCCGTATGGAATATAAGTCCTCGATAGAGCGTCTGTCAATGATAGAATCCTCCGCATGATTCATTTGGTATACTAGTTAACCAGGTTGCATTGCAGAGCACCGCTCATTTTATGTTGGAATTTATTCTTTATCCTATCAATCTTCACTGGCAAACATGCAGACGATGCGATGGTTGATGGTACATTACCCAACGATGTTTCTATTTGCCCCCTTCCCTCGCTTATAAAACCTATCACTGAATGAACTCACAATGCCAAACGAACCTGCAAATGCATGGAAATTCTTTTTATCCATTAGTTCTGGCTCTGCTGATTATAACCCATATCCTTATCCCGGATAAAGGGTTGCAACGTCCTCTGACTTCAAACAAGTTGAACGATTTAGTTCGATCAACCACAAGTGGTCTTGTCACACATAAACGACTACCTGTGAAATCTGGTAGACGTTAGAATCCATTTTCAAATTCAATCAATTGAGTTGTATCATCGGGTTAATTGTCCTTGACTGCGTGGGTCTAAGAATTTCACTTCAATTTCATCTGCAACTTCATCGTCAATCAACACATTACAACTCATGACCAATATGACTCAATACTGCCTGACACTTCATGTCCTAGGCATTCCATTCCGTCCACCCTCCCCCCTCTCTAGCTTCCTATGCCTTTATTACCGAAAACCAATGAAAACTGGTCGACAACGGTCAAATAGCATGCATCCATGACTGAAACTGAGTTTAAAATCAGCCGGTTGCTCGAGGCCTGATAAGGGACATCAGGGCCAATTATCTGGGAGCACGGGCTAATACCAGCACAAACTGTGCATTGCAACACAAATGGGCCTGATGCTCATCGGTCCACTCACGTTTCGTGATATTCTGACTTGTGAAGATTGCGAGTGATATTTTAAAAAATGCAAGTTTGTTTATGTGCATTCTGTTCGTAAACAAAATACCGGCGATTGTTTAAACAGGCCAGAATATGAATGCGGATAAGCCTGTGCATCAGTGGATAATAATAACTTGTGCATCATACTTTATTCTGACTGAGAATAACTTTTAATCACTGCGTGATTCAATTACCGACGGTAAAGATCCGGTTTGGATGCCGATTCAGACCAAAGGAATAAACAAATGATCGGCTCACACCGCAGGCTACCGAAACAAACATAACTGAAAGTTTCAAGCTCAATGGAAAGCGGGAAACCGGGACTGAATGTTCATCAATAGAAGCTGGCCTATTTCCACCCTACCACTACGGGATTTCAGCGGTGAAAGGAGGACACTCGTCACCAGACCTTCTTCAAGCAATTCAAGTAACTGCTTCAAGTATCTCAATAGGTGACCGTTCGGCAGCAAAATGTTTTAGAATAGAACCCCTGTAAACAGTGCACAGAAAAGAAGCATGTGATTGATCAATAGTGAGCACTATGCCGAGTGCTGATGCACTGCCCTTTGATCAAGTAAACATACTGATCAACACTTTACAGATAGACATCGGCCTACGGAGACGAAATCGTAAGTAATCATCACTAAGCCTATATTCAGATCACCCTAGTTGATCCCAGTTTTCCTAATAACTATCTTCCCGTGTACCATGTTCATCGATTTTTGCGAGATGTAAAATTCATCAAAGGCGTTAGGAATCAAGCAAGCAGTACACTTACCGCTTGAAGGAGTGGTGGTGTGAAGGGACACATCCTGTGTAGATAGATCTTCCATATCTGCTTCTGTGGTCTTGTTCACTCGGGAGGTCAACCAGCGAGCATGCCAGCGCAGTCGAGGATCCTGTGTTGCTCGTAATCGTTCCATGTTCAATGGCTTCTGACTGAATTAGCAAAAATTTATCGCATAATAAAATGGATTGCAAGATAGTATTTTTTGCCTAACAAGAGTTGAGGTAAAACGGGACGTCGTACAAGCTTTAATAATCGGCAAAGTTTAAGGAGGTTCAAATAATCTAAGGGTGAAAAACCTATATGGGGTTCGAACTCACACATAGACGCAGCCTAGGACTCTGTAGAGCGTTCACTTTACCAATTGAGTTACGAATTCCGATCTGGAACTTAAATGTGTTTTTTTCAGTTGGTTACTCGCCCCCGTTGCATGGTATATGAACACACAAGGTATCACGTAAGGTAAGTGGGACAGTAGATTTTATTAAAACACCCGGAGACAACCCGTTAAAATTGAGGGTCAAATGAACTGTTCAGCTATCATTAGTCGGTAGATTTGGAGTAGTTTTTACGCGATCCATTAGCTCGTTTTTGTAAAAATAACAATTAAAAAATAATAGGCACTTGGTGTAAACAAGTGCTACAAAGAAAACTAAAGTATCGACAGGCACGTACGAATGACACAACTATTCAATCAACCAACCGTCGAAAACAATAACAATATTTATAATCTACTCGATTTCTTTTTACCATATACATTTTGCAGCCAACTTTCAAAGAGGGGACTGAAATCGATCACGGGCTGACTGAGAAATAAAGAGTAATGTTGCTGCAGTGGGAATTTCAAATCGCGGGTCTAAATCATGGTGAAATCAAATTCCCACCCAATACTGTTATGCGTAAGCGGCTAAGATTCGCAAAGGAACATTTAAGACCCGACAAAAATGAAATCCATCTAATTGTCCTGCAATGTAAAATTGAACAGCTCAAATCAGACAATGCATTGGTTCCTGGTACCTTGATAAGCTACCTACTTCGATTGCGCACTGGATCTATTCCGAATCTCTCTGCATTTAATCAGTGAATCTTCTTCTGTTTGAGTTAAATATAAGTGTATCAAATATAAAATACAAAAAGGCCATTGTCACAGGAGTATATTGTGTGAACCTGAAACCCAAGTCCTTGAAAGCGGCCAACCACACAAGTTCCCACTGATATGGGAAGCGAACTAAGTACAGAGACAGTGGAAAGGCTCCGCGAAAAAGACTAAACACAAACTGATTGTGTAACTTCTCTCATTCTGATGTTTGGGATCTATTGAGATGACACTATTAATGTTGATGATCTTTTATCCGCTTTCATTGAATAGACAACACCCCGAATTTCTCTGCAGGGGGATTTGACGAATCAAAGGAGCGAAGCGGACACATAAAAATGGGAAATATAAGTGTCATTGGTGATATTAGAACAGAGAACTTATGTACGCACGGATATGATATCGACCTATACTAGTAAATAATATGAAACACAAAGAAACTAATAAATGTTTGTTCCACCTCTCTAACTTTCCGATCCATGAACACTTCCCGTTTGTTTCAAAGGGGAAATCCGTTGTTTATATAGCAAATTAAGCGTGAGCTGAAAAACTGATGAGACCTAACCAGATCGAAACAGTTGTTCAGTGTTTCCAAAGCTTTTCGGTTCATTATTCATTTGCTATATACACGATGAATTTTCCTTTGAAATTGAATTAAATCCTCCATTGCTCACATGAAACTTCCGATTTGTAATCAAATTCCATCGGAACTATTTTCTACACAAACTTGAGGTGTCATTCCTAGTCGTGCTGTAACTGTATTTCATCACAGGTTTTATTTTGGTCATTTGTGGTATTCGGACTCTGGTGGGAACTAATAGGGTGCAGTACGGTTCTATGGGATCGTTCGTGGTGTCATTTTCCTCCGGACTTCATATAAATAGGGAAATTATTGTTGTATACGCGCACAAAAACAAATCACGGTTCGTAAATTCCCGATGCTGAGTTTGATCATCGTTCGACCGTTCATAATCACAGTTCACAGAAAGCATAACCTTCATCGAGATATAATAGTTCTCTAAATATATGTGTCATGCGCGCATTTGTTCCAAGATTAGGACTCTTCTGTTCGTTAAAGTCACGGTATCTCGTCCTAGGAAAATCTATTGTCATTTGAGTACAACTTTGAATGATTGAATGAATGAATGTTACCGAACCGGTCATGTATGTATTCCGTGTTGTGAATTGCCGATGAGTCATTCTTTATTTGCACACTCAGGGAAACGCCTAACAACGGTCAGAAAGATAACATTTGCTAATCTAGAGGTTGACAGAATAACAAAAAACATTAGGTTACAACGAACCTTAGGCAACTGAAATACATCCTCAAACATCCAGGGAGTTAAAGTTGACAAAGTCAAATTATTCTGTTCTGTTCTTACAACCATTAACCATGCACTTTCGTGCGCCGGTTAAGGTTGCAGGCTATTGGTTGCCCATTTGAATGAAACAGCAGAATGAAAATTAGAATGCCGACAACAGATTCAAGCGGAAGGTCGACTGAAGTTACAAGGATAATGAGTAGATTCACGAGCGCCACTGTTTGCGACACCTAGCCATATCGTTGTGTCTCTAACCATCGACAACCATGATCTCGGGATCCCCAGCCAAGGAGCCTAACGGGACCTATGTGAGCCAAACTTCTGATTAGGTCTTAGTTTGACCTCCCTTGATCTTTTTCCAATCACTACCTGCCGCGGCAAACATCGCTCGCCGTGGCAACCTATCTGGTGACATGCGTAGCACATGTCCCAACCAACGTAATCTACGGAGGTCGATCACTTGCTCCAGTGGACAACCCCGATTACCCAAAACTCTACACCTAGCCTCAGCATTGCTCGTCCGGCTGCCCCAACAGACTCGTGCAATGCTACGTAAACAGCGTTCGAACACCGACAATCTATTTTTATCCTGTCCCCGCAATGGTCAAGTTTCTGCAACTTAAAGCAGCACTGGCCGAATTCTTAATGTTAGCTGAAGATCAACTGGGTAGCTGGGGTTCACAGAAAGTCACAGTTGATGTAGCATTGAGAACAACAGTTAAGTGCAATGGGTTTGACACTGCAACAGATTCAGTGGTAATGCGCATAAGTGTGAGCATATGAGGAATTAGTGTGAAAAAAGTAACCAATCATTACAAACTCAGAATCTAGTTAGAAGAATTGGGATTCAGCCATTAATGTATAGTAATGTTATCTACTACTTCGATCCCCTTTTTGGAATTCGCTTCATGCGAGGTGTTTTTCGTTTCATTTAACTAATACTCATCAACGTATCACTGCATTCTGTGACATATCAGCTTGGTACAGATAGCCACAGTGATTGGTTTCTCTATCCCCCTGCATTTGTAGGCAATCGCAATCAGTAGACTCTGCGGCTTTGGATCCGGGG